TTATTATTATCAATATATACCCAACAATCTATTAAAATAACCAAATGTAAATATAAATAAATAAAAATAATATGAATCAATTCATATTTTTTTAAAAAGAATAATATATACCATTCATTTCGAAATAAATTTTTTTAAAACAAAAAAAAACGTAACGCAAGTATGATTGGACACATTAATTTTTAGAGGCCTTTAATTTAGCTGCAGATCGTTCGTTATTATTACAAAATAATCACGCACCTGTTGAATTTTGTTATTATGCACCCATAGATATGATAGGAATTTTAGTTTAGACATTTAATTTAAATTTAAATTTATTTTTCAAAGCTAATTAACAAGTTTAGGTGCTAAACATGAACACTAGGGATTAATCAGATCATCAACATCACTGGAAAGCCTTTCAGCGGGTACGTATGTTGCTGTATTGCTGAATATTTTTGAGAGAATTAGAGGCTCTTTTTTCTTTTTTTCCCATCAAATCCAAAGTCTTCGGATAAATATTTATCTGCTTCAGACATCTTATTATGTTCGATTTAAAAAAATTGGATTAATATCTTAATGACAAATTTGAAAATTTTCATTTTCCTCATATTGTAGATAAATTTCTTATTGATTCTTCTATTGTATTTTGTTAGTGCTGTAATCAAATAAAGACAACTTTTTCAAATGAGTATCTAATATAGTTGCCAGTAAACCAAGATCCGAAGTTTTATCCCAATAATCAAATAGGATTATAAATTTTTTGCCGAAAATTCAATGCAACGTTGTTAAGATTTGGTCTTGCCCTACTTAAAATGCAATTAAAATATACATCATATACTTAAAATATACCGATGGAAGAGAACAAGTATATGAAATTATACTCAAAACACACTTAAAATATACTATATGCCTAAAACATACTTTTGATGGTAAATTAGCATACTTGAAATACACTTAAAGGTTACTTAAAACATACTTAATTTTGTTCATTATTAAAAAAGGTATGTTTTAAGCACATTTTAAGCACCTTCAAGTAGATTTTAAGCATGTTTTAAATACATTTTAAGCACCTAAACTTTTTGTAGGGTTGGTAGGATTGAAGTTTGTGATCAGGTAGAATGGTTCATAACCATCATCACCTAAAAACAAATTATTTAGAAATTATCACAATAATCAAAAATACACATTTATACCAAATTCTTTACCCATCCTGCTCTTCTATAGTTGGATACATTAATGATAAAGTGGGATATCAAGCGTCAGGAAAAAATTTTATTGCCTCTTCAAAAGTGACAATTTTTCTGGTAATTCCCATTCATAATTCTTCAATAATAAACAAGCAAAGTATTTGCCAATAATTCAATTGACTTTCGCAATTTTAACAATGAAATACAAGGTGCATTCCATCTTGATTAACAGTCATCACATTTCTCAATATTGTTTAAATCAGTTTCTTAGTCATACTCACCATCATAATTATTGTCATTTCATTAACATTACTATAAATCACTGACCCAAATCTTGTTGATGAAACTTCTAATTGGGCATTATCTAACCTTTCAGTTTGTTTTGGAGATGGATGATGTGAAAATTTAACTAATTTTTTAAATCTTTTGATTGTTTTATTTATAATTAATTCAAGCACATGCCCAGTGCACAGAATTAGTTCAACTTCTTATCACAATTCAAATGCCTTTTCCATTATGCCACAAATTAATTTCCCTTCAAGCCCGAATTCATTAATTTATTTTTTAGACATGCAAGAATTGTTTGGATTGAATGTGGATATGGCATTTTTTAATTGCAAGTAGGATATCAACTAGTTCAAAGTCTGGTGTAAGCAACACCTTTGATCTTGCTGTCCACAAATCGGTAGCAATAGTTGCAGTATTGCAAGTTTTTTTGTTAATTTTTCTTTCTGTAATACATATGCTTTTGCAATTAGTTTTGCCCTTATCTTTCATAACAAGGAATCCAATAAAACCCATTTTGTGGCACCACATTGAAGCTCTCTCATTCATTTAAAGAGTTATGCCTTAATCTTTTTAAAATGTTCTTTGATTGGTTTTTTTCCTAAAAATACTATTATAATACATTAGATTCACTTTAATAATTGTTCTTAACAAAAATTCATGTCTATGTATCAAATGATAGTTCAATGTTGATGTAAATACTTAATTTTCTTGAATATTTAGAACACACAATCTGATACATTACAATTAATGTTGTTGTTCCCATCATCTTCAAAATAATCCCAAGTTTTGGATTTTTTATTATGTATTTTCCTAATACATAGGCAACCCATTAAACCGAAGGCAATTGTGCAGTAACTTTTCTTCGGATTAACGGGGGTTTTTATAATCCGATGTTATTATTAGAGTCATAATTAATACGGATAAACGGGGAATAAATTTAAAATTTTAGGATTTAGAATTTCCTTTATCCATTTTCTGGTAGTGAATTTATTTGGATTCAATGATAAAAAATAACCACTCTTTTTTAGAATTCAGAAACAATAAATTCACTGACATTATATTTAGATGCAAGCTGGTATTTTTTATGTTTGGACCTTTATTTTTTCAATACATATTTATATTTTTGTGAGATTGTTATAGGCGTATGTTTTCTTTTTGATACCCCAACTTCTTTTTCAGTAGATTTTTTTTTCCCTCTTGTTTGCACTAGAGGAAAGTATACTTATTAATTTTTGTACATGTGAATTTGCAATTCACGTATTCAAATTAGCCAATTAGGATTTCATATCATGTGTATTTTTTATTTCACTTCGGTTTATAAAAATTCGGATTAACGGGGCAAATTTACATATAAATGGCTTCAAAAAATTTAAAATTTCTTCGGTTTACGGTTTATAAAGTTTTGTTAGTGACATTCATATTAACGGGGAAATTTACATATGTTTGGCTTTGGTGTTTTAAAAATTATTCATTTTAACAGAGTAGAGGGACATTCAGTATGGTACAACTCTTGCAAAATGTATGGCATGGTATTGTATAAGTGTAATAAAATGGTTGTATACCAATGCTTAAATCTAACATACTTCCCTTCACACCCACCAAAAAAGGATTTAGAATAAAATTTTGTGTGACTTGGTATGGAAAAATATGGGCTATACCATACGTTCTGCAAGAGTTATACCATACTGAATCTCTCCCTACCGATTTTAACTGGGTTTTCGGATTAACGGGGTTGCCTATGTAATATTTTATTGCTTTCAAGACTTTTTAATTCGAATAAATTTTTTTAATTCGAATAAATTTTTTTAATTCGAATAAATTTTTTTAATTCAAATGAATTTTTTTAAAATGAATTTTTTTAATTCAAATGAATTTTATTCAAATAATTAATTCGAATTAAAGGTCAACTGTGTTACAAATAATTCGAATAAGAATCTGTATTACGAATAGAAGCCCTACAATTAATCTCATTTTTTGATTTTATTAATTAGAGGGAGAAGAAAGAGAGTGAATAATAACCTGTTTATCACTACAGTCAAACCTTGTATCAAGGACACATAAGAAAATTGCATCTAAAACTTGTTGTACTACTAAATTGCATTTCAACAAATTTTAATTGTAATTCATTAAAAAACAAGATACTACTATTTATTAATTATTTTATTGTTAAATTTGTAAATCCAAGTACATGATTTTTTATTCCAATATGATATCTTGTGTACAACAATTCTGAAAAAAATGCTTTTGCACATCCTGTATATTTACATTTGACCAAAATGGCATCTTGCATGATCTAGCAAGCTACGTTTTGATAAAATGCTTTGTTACATCTTGGATATTCACACTTAAAATTTTTTATTTTAAGATGATATTTTGTATGTTCTTGTAAATCTCCATTTCAATAAAATGTTCTATTACATCCTGGATATTCACACTTGAAATTTTTATCCCAAGATGATATCTTGTATGTACTTGTAATTCACCACTTCAACAAAAAGCTTTGCTACATCCTGGATATTCACATTTGAAATTTTTTATTCCAAGATGATATTTTGTATGAATTGTTAAATCTGCTTTTTGATAAAATGCTCTTGCACATCCTGGATATTCACACTTGAAATTTTTTATTCCAAGGTGATGTCTTGTATGCATTATTAAAGTCTTCTTATAAGAAAATGCTTTGTTACATCCTGGATATTCACATTTGAAGTTTTTTATTCCTAGATGAGATCCTGTATGAATTGTTAAAACTTCTTAACAAAAATGCTCTTGCACATCCTGGATATTCACATTTGAAATTTTTTATTCCAAGATGACAGTTTGTATGAATTGTTAAACCACTTTTACAAGAAAATGCTTTTGGACATCCTGGATATTCACATTTGAAATTTTTTATTCCAAGATGAGATCTGTATGAATTGTTTATATACAACAAAATGCATTTTCACATCTGGATATTCACATTTGAAATTTTTTATTCCAAAATGACGTCTTGTATCCATTTGTAATTCACTATATTGGCAAAAAGCTTTTGCACATCCTGGATACTCACATTTGAAATTTTTTATTCCAAAATGACATTTTGTATGTACTAATAAACTAGAACTATAATAAAATGTTTTGTTACATCCTGGATATTCACATTTGAAACCTTTTTCACCATGAATTTTACAGTGTTTGTTAAGTATATATCTAGACTTGAAAGATTTACCACAGTTTGGGACTGTACAAAAAATACATTATAACTTTGATTACTACTTTCATTGCCATCCTCACCGTCAATTTCATTATCACTATCTTCATCTACACTATTTCCATCTTCATCAATTTCACTATCACTATTTGAATCATCATTTTTATTGTTGTTGTTAGTGCTGTCATGATAATTTTCTAGGTTTTTTTTAATTTTATCATCATTATTAAATAAAAATATTATTGATTAACTTTATATATTTTTAAACAAGCATAATACCATTTTGAATTTTTTAAATCAAGTGTAACAATACTAATACAAAAAATAAATTTTTGTTTGTTTGTTAGAAAATGGTTTTATGGGCAGTATTTAATTTAGTCAAAAATATTTTTCGGATCGTATTACAAGTAATAATTCCAAGACCTGTAATTACTGATTCAGCTGCAACTCGCTTAAGAGATTCACGTTTAACTGCACGAGTCATACGTGAATTTGAAACCAATTATGGTAATGTACATCCTGATTTCTTTCAAGGAAGTTTTTCGCAGGTAAAAAGTGAATGGATTGACTTTTAAACAAATTTTTTTCTTTGTCTAATATTAAAAACGATAATTTAATAATATTAGGCGTTTGATCAAGCAAAAAATGATGTTCATTTCTTGATGGTAATACTTGAAGCTGATGAACATGACAGCACTGATAAATTCAATCGGTAAAAAAAATAATTTTAAAATTATTATTTTGGGAGAAAAAATAATATTAATTAATTAATTAATTTTTTAATAATAATAACAAAAAAGCGAGACATTGACATCTGAACTATTGGCAGTATTTTTACAGGAAAATCAAATATTGGTATGGATTGGTAATGTAAAAGATCCTGAGGCATTTCAAGGTATTCCTATAATTATAAATCTATATATAATGTGCGTGTATGCATTTATATATATTTACATTTCTTCTATATTATAAATATCAGCACCTATATTAATAATAATAATTATCATTAACTTTGAATATTAGCAAGTATTACATTACAGGCAACAGCATATCCATTTATAGCGTTCATTGTACTACAGTCATCAAATGATAATCCAGGATCAAGTCAAAAAATGACAGTGGTTGATCATATTGAAGGTTTTTTTAATCATCATTTCAATTAATTGATTAATTGATTAAAATGTCAACTAATATTTACAATAAGGGATTTTAAAATCAACAACAAATTCATTAAATTAATTTCTTTTTTATTTCCTTCTGATTCTACTAGGATTTATAACACCAGAGGATATTGCAGCACGATTAACAAATCAAATAAATCACCATGAAATGAGTATGCAAAGAATGCGTAATAAACAAGTAGAACGTGAATCTGCACGTCAAATACATGATCAACAAGATATGGCTTATCAGGCTTCATTATTAGCTGATCAAGAGAAAGAACATAAAGCTCGTGAATTGGCCAAGGCTAAGCGATTAGCTGAAGAAAATGCAAAAAAAGAAAAAATACAACAAAAATTAACTGAAGAAAAAAAATTGAAATGGAGACGTTGGGCTTTATCAACTTTACCAGATGAACCATCCGAAGCTGATAAAAATGTAGCAAGATTAAGTTTTAGACTTGCCAATGGTGAAAGAATCATCAGACGATTTAAACCAGATGATACTGTTGAGGTTTGCTTGTTTTTTTTTTGGTTGGAAGGTTTATAAAATTTGTCATTACTTGATCGATTTCTACTAATATATATAAATATCTATTAGATGATGTATACATTTGTTGATACATGTTTTCTTCGTGAAGATCATTCATTATCATCATCATCAAATTTACAATTTCCACCTGATGATTATGCTCATACATTTGATTTCTTGCTAATTTCACCATATCCAAGAGTTGAATATCATGTAGATAAATATAAAACTATAAAAAATGAAAAGGGTCTTTGGCCAAGTGCTAATCTTATTGTAGAATCACTTGCTAGTGGTTATGGTAATAATAATGCCAATGATGATTAGTTGGTGTTAGCAAATTATTAATTATATTATAATCATTAATAAGTATCAATAAGAGCACCATTTTTTTTTTATATTTTATTAATTTCAATAAATATAAAATATAATGGATATAATTTTTATTATATTCAATAAATTATTTTGATAGATTAATATTTTTGAAATAAATAATTAAGTTTTTTTAAAAAAAAACCAAAACTCCATTTTGAGTAGATAACTGAAAATAAATAAATAAAATCTATTGGATGTTATAAATATTAAATATTAAATTATATAATTAGCTTTGATGTAATCTGTAATGATATTGTTCTGCTTGATCAATACAAGTAACATTTGATTTTAATTTATTGACGGTTTCTTTATATTCATCTTCTTCAACACTATCATAAACTATTCCACCGCCTAAAATAAATTAAAAAGAAGAAATATACATTATATTAAATTAAACACTTCACCAAACAAATGATTTAATAAATTAATTTAATAATTACCAGCTTGAAGATAAGCAACACCGTTTTTAAAAACCATTGTTCGTATAGCAATACAAGTATCAATTGAATTAGAAAAATCAAAATGTCCAACTGCTCCAGCATAAATACCACGTTTCTCCTGTTCAAGCTCGGAAATTAATTCTATAGCTCGAACTTTTGGTGCTCCAGAAACTGTGCCAGCTGGAAATATTGATCTGAATGCATCAAATCTTGATTTGTCTGGACGTAATTTACCAGATACATGACTAACTATATGCATGACGTGACTATATTTCTCTATTTGCATGAATGAATCTACTTTGACTGACTTGGATTCACATACTCGATTAATATCATTTCTTCCCAAGTCCAGTAACATTATATGTTCTGCTTTTTCCTTTGGATCATTTAATAATTCATTTGCAAGTTCATCATCCTCTTTTTTTTTTCAATAATATTATAATAAAATTTTTCAAAATTAATTATATTCGATTCACATACATAACTAGAACAATAATTAAAATAATCAATAAACAAACCTTTTGGAGTTTTCCCACGTTTTCTAGTTCCGGCAATTGGATGAGTATAGACAATATCATTTTCTACTTTGATAAGTAATTCAGGTGAAGCACCAACAATTTGAAAATCTTTTAAATTGATATAAAACATATAAGGTGATGGATTAATTGTCCTCAAATATCTATAGACATTAAATGGATGAAGTGTGGTAGGTCTAGCCAGTCGTTGTGAAGGAACAGCCTGGATTATATCACCTTTGACAATATGTTGTTTCAACTTGGTAACAAAAGCTTCATAACCTGATTTGCCAACATTGGATTCAGTTTGTTGATTAAGTATTATTTCACCTTGTGGCACCTCTAATGATGATGATGTTGGGTAGTCACTCTGAAGTTTTAATAGCAGACGTTTTATTTTTTCTAATGCTTGTTTATAATGAATTTCTATGACTTTTTTGTTTTTGGAATCATTACGATAATGCGATACCACATATAATGTCTGATATGTATGATCAAAAATTACCATAGTGTCACAAAATAAAAAATACGAATCAGGTAAACCAACTGGATCTTTTAAATCCCTTGCTGTTCTTGGCTCAAAATATTTCACGCAATCATACCCAATATATCCAATTGCTCCACCTTAGAATTTGGAGATATGGTATAAATATAAATATACAATTCTTTATGTCTATAAATATATAATTAATTAGCAATGTGATTTTTACCTGTGAATGAAGGAATTTCAGGTAGCCTGATATACTTTGTAGATTTCAATTCATTTTCAAGACCTATTAAAGGATCACCTTCATTATCTTCTGTCTTTAATGTTTTATATGGATCTTAATAAAATGAATAAATTGATTTGTCGATTACTATTTTTTTTATTAATTTTTCACTTTTATTTATTAATTATTTAATTAATTACCTGCTCCAAGAAAAGAATATCGACCAAGTTTTTCACCACCAGAAATAGACTCTAACAAAAAAGAATAATCACTTTTTGCTGCTATACGTAAGTAAGCGCTAACAGGTGTTAATAAATCTGCAGGGATTGTTGCATAAACTGGAATAGTGTTTCCATCTTGTACCAAAACATACTCTTGAATTTCCTCAAGAGATGGTGTAAACTTAATCTATGCATATTTTTTATATAAAATTGAATTAAACTAAATATATATAATATTAATTCACTTTAAGTTTGTAAATCATTCATTCTTACCGACATATTATTTTCTCTCTTAAATTAAATTAAAAATTTAAATTTGTATTGATCACAAAAAAAAAAATCAATTAATTAATTAATTTGATTATCAATGAGTTCAAGATTTTATAAAAATGGTACATTTATATATATTTTATATACGTCTATGAAAACTTTTTAATTTTTATGTATAATGAATAGAAATAAATCTTTTGTTGAATGATGAAGAAACTTATTGTAAAGAAAGAAATATTAGTGAAAATGTAAGTAGTTATAATTGTGTATAACACGCATTTTTACATATTTATAATTATTTACATTGATCGACTATTAGGAATATCATCAATTAAGGAGAAAGCTCATACAAAAACATAAAGTCAAGGGTATAAAGGCCAGTGATCTATTGATAAATCTATCACCGAAATTAAAATTATCCACAGGATGTAATGGGTAAATTAACTTAATTAGATGACATTGATATTATATATTTATTACATATTATATATATATATGATAGGATTGATAAATTATTGGATGGTGGAATATTTACTAGAGAAATTACTGAAATTAGTGGAAATATTGCAACTGGAAAAACTCAAGTTTAGATTTATTTTTTTTATTAATAAATTTTTTATTTGATTTTCTTATTATAAATTTGATTTTCTTATTATAAAAAATTTAATGGATTAGATTGGATTTTCCACACTAATATCAGCATTATGTAGTGATGTAAATAATACAGTTTTATATATTGACACAAAGAATATATTTTCAGCTTTACATATTCAAAATATATATTATGAGAGTGATAGATTTATATTTGCAAGGGACCAATTACAATTGGTAATGATACATTATATATAATATTAAGATTAAATGAGTAACTAATTACTAATAATGATTATATTCTTTACAGCAAATTGAAAATCTTCTTGGTAGAATTAGAGTGGTTAATTGTTCTAATATATATGAAGTGTTGGAAGTGTTGGAAGATGTTGGAAATAATTGCAAAGTTCCATCAGATTATTTTTATCCTAATCTGAGGCTAATAATAATAGATAATATATTCTCTATAATTTCTACAATTTTATCTGATACTTGTCAAGGTAATAAAAATAAATAATTATATTTTATGTAGTATAGGTGAATGTTTATATTAGTGTTTATGTGATTTTAGGATTTAATTTGATGGTCACAATGGGAAAAATGCTTAAAGATATAGCAAAAAATAATAACATAGCAGTTTTGGTATATATCATAATAACACAATATTATAACAACCTAATATTGATATATATTCATAATACTCTATAGACTAACAATCCTCCTCTTATCTTTATTATTATTAATATCATTAGCTAATTAATACTACAGTTAGTGCAAATCCAGATAATCCAGTATCAATGTTTTCACCAACTAGAAAACCTGCATTGGGAATAAATTGGAGTATTTTTCCTGATGTTGAATTGTTTTTATCTTTTGCTGGGGATGTTTTGGATGAAAATGGTATGCCATTACTCGTGCAAGAATTTGAATATTTTAATAACAATGGATTAAAAATCTTGATGAAACCAAGAATATGTGAATTATTAAAATCAAGAAATGAGGTTAGTGGAATTTAATTATGGTAATAACATAAAATAATGTTATTGTTGGTATTAATATTAATATCATCATTATTTATTGTTGGATAGAATAATATTAAAAGAATATGGTATCCATTTTATATGGTAAATAAATAAATATATTATACATATATACTATGTGTATACTAATTAATTTCATTATTAGGGTGAATATGAAATTTTAACACCGGATTATTACTTGAAGTAAAATGTTTATTTCAATATTTACCTTGTGTATTTGTTTTTCAAACTTGTCTTTTCGATATAAATGGGAGATCTGCATTTCAATCAAAATTTATCAAGTGGCAGTAAGCTGAAAAAGTTCTTTGACATAATAATAGTAATAGACGTCAAATTCAGAGAGGTTGTATAGAAGAGACTCTATTATTCCTATTTTTGATTAATAAATAATAATAATATTAGAGAGAAATTATAAAAAAAAAAATTATTTTCCTCGCGTTATTAATATTCCAAACCTAACTTTACCATTTACTACTCTCACACTCCAAAGTTCATTCGTACTCTGGCCAATATTCGCTCGCTCACATTCATTGAACAAATATTAACTCATGGTACCTATTAAAAATACTACAATTTTTCTACTTTATCTTTTTTAACTACTACTATTATTTTTATTGGTTTGCTGGTTGAATCAATATCAATCAATAAAAATAACATGTAAATTTAAGTATAAATATTCGAGATACACACATATTAATTGATTAAATTTTTTCTATAAAACTAGATGTTCCACAATGTCCAGATGTTGGTAGTTTTAATAATAACAATCATGTACCTTCTGTTTCGGGAGTTTCTTATGTTGCAATCGAAGAAACTGACCATTGTGAATGCTCTTTTCCAAAAAACAAAAAAACAAAATTCTTGTAATAAGATAATATGTTCACATTGTAGTCATAGCCCAGAATATGCATTGACAATGTCCATTTACTGAATTAACTGTATTTTATGGTCAAATCTACTCCAAATTGGAAATTGAACACATTCTTTGATTTAACGAATGATCCAACGACGTCGTTGACACGAGAAAGCATTATTTTATTGTAAGAATATAAATAATAATATTATGGAAAGGGCCAGAAAATACGATTAAGAGTTGGCATAAGGGCTACCACTCTCATATTTCAGGCAGAACCAATGCAAACTTCAAAAATACTGCAATCTTCAGGGTTATTTATTATTGTGGGAATCTTTGAGGCAATAAACAATGCCTAATATTTAAAGAGCATAACTTGCAACATTTTTATAACAAACCTGAGCATCTTCTTGTAAAGGCCGAGACTATTATTTTCTGAACAATTTTATATTAACATTTAATAAACTAATGATTTCAAATGCAACTGAAGAGGCACAATCACGTGGGTGAATTATTGCTATCCGGCATAGTTTTTGAGGATTAATTTCAGAGTTTCAAGATAAGCATAAACTGGATGGTTTGGATGGTTCTTATACTAATATAAACTTGGATGAGAATTTAAAGCAATTCATTATTAAAATTATTACAAAATCTTCACAAGTGCCAGCTGATATATGTTATGGAAATAAATTGTATGAAGATGTGAAGACACTCATGACAAAATTGTAAGTTTATAATATAATTTATTATGCTTTTACTATTAGCTTCGCAACATTTAATAATATATACATGAAATTTGGGAAAATAATATAAAAAAGTTGCATCAATTACTGAAGCCTCGTTTTCGCGTCAAGTAATTGTTTCCGTTCTTGATTTTTAAAGATGAATTACTCACTCGTACGAATATTTGATTCTCGCATTAATTACATTGACTTTTTAAAATTTTTGATAAATAAATGTTGGTTCTTATTATAGGATGAGCGCTAATAACTTTCTTCTATTTGGAGATTTCGCACGACAAGACAAAACAAGACTCACAGAACTTTGTAGGGTCAATTGCAGAAAATAAAAAAAAACAAAAAATTTCTCCTTACATGTTAGTTGCAATATATTAAGTATCATTATTTCAGTCAGGGAGATTTCCAAATTTGGAAATCAATTCTAGAAATTTTTGTTGATCAATTCATATACGCTACAAATGAGTTTAGAAAACACTCCCCCGTTATGTTATGTCGCGTTTTTTTATATAAAACTTTAAAAAATAACTGTTAAATAATATTCTTTTGGATATATAGTTTCATAATCCCTGCTCATCCCCAAAGCTTTACAAAGTAGTTTTTTCAGAAATAAAACTTGAAATTGCGATTATTTTTTTTTTTTTTTCATAGAATCATATGTATATAAATTATAATGACAAATACAACACTCAAATCAAAAGATTTACCATGCTTATTTGAAAATCTTGTTGAGAGATATCAAAATACTCTTTTAGTTGAGTGTGAAACTAAGGAGAATCAGAAACAGCATTTTGCATCAGTAGAAAAATCAACTGAAAGAGCAAAACTTTTGGCTAAGTATTATTTTCATTAATTATTTAGAAAATTATTCTATTTGAAAAACATGATAATCAACTTGTTGCTAATAATTATTTTATTGAGCATTTAAAAAAGATAGATAATTCAAGGTCATCATATATCATAGAAGAAAATGAATAAGAAAATTCATTATATATCATCCATTAATTCCATTTATTATGAATTTTCCAATTATGCCTTGTACAATTTGAAATGATTTATTTTCTTATTTATTATACAATATTGTAAGTATTATTAATGCCCGTCCTTTTTAAGAAAACATTAGGGACGAGCAGTAATGGCACAGTAACCCATCCCTTTTTCACCTGTCCTTTTCAAGATTTCCCCAATGAATAATAGAAAAGGGCGGGGGACGGGTTGCTGTGCCTTGACCCGCGCCATGCCCGTCCCTCATAATTGCCCGTCCTTTTTTAATTATTTGAAAAACACCCGTACCATTGCCCGTCCTTTTCTAGTATTAAAGGGCCAAACGTGAAAAGGACGGGGGACGGGTTCAAGCCACACCTGCCCGTCCCCCGTCCTTTTCCAGCATCCCGTTGACACCCCTCTAGAGAAAATTGATAAATTAAAGCCTTTTTTGTAAAAATTCCAAGTGATTAAAGTTTCCTGAAAAAAGTTAAATATAAAATTATTATTTAATTTTATTATTATATGGGAGGTTCCATCGCAAGTTCAAATAAACTAAGGGAAAAATATTTATCAATTTGAAGTAGGAAAATTAAAAAATTTGATAAAGGATAAAACAATTAGCCGAAAAAGTAGAAAAATAGTTAACATACCATTTAGCCACGATAGATATACTAGCTTTAACTGAATTTTTAGAAAAAGTTGATATCTCAAATAGTCGAGAGTATTTTGAATTTCTATATATAACGATATAATTTTTTTCATTCCGACAATGCAAGCTATATGAAATTAGCACATTAATGTTCTTTTTTATCGCCATCATTTCTACCAAATATGATTCAAACAAATTATATTGATTTTGTATTTTTCTTTTGGCTAAAAAAAGAGCAGAATTTGCAAAAAACAAAAACATAATCCTGGCTGGACACTTCATTTATAATAATAATAACAATAATCGGGGAGAATTGTTGTTGATATAACATATTGATATACTGCATGTATCAGGAGGGAAAAACGAGCGTTACATACAACCGCGATTCACATACACGTACTATTTGATCAAATTTTAAAATTTTTATTTTACGAATAAATTATTAAAAAAATGATTAAAATGTATAAAAAATTATATTAACAAATGCATTATTAATTTAAATTACAGTTTAAACAATTAAAATTGTATTTTAACAATGTCTTCCTCCAATAAAATCTGACCAACTTTTAACTTCATTTGGTATTTTACCATCAACTAGTCCACTAAATTCAATTCTTTTTCTCTTGAGAGCTTCTACAAATAATTTGGCACATTTTCCATCATTGACCAATGGTATACCAAAATCTACAGCTGACCTTCTTTCAATGTAATTTTCATCACCAATGGTTGAGGCTCGAAGTTGTGCCAAATTAAATACAAAATCTATTTTATTATCTTTGAAAGCCTTTTGTAATTCTTTTTTATCATCAACTGGTAAAGATAATGTTG